AAGCAAGTATTAGGAGGCATTCAGTGCCAATGGTGCTCAGGACTGGTGCTAGTCTTTACCTGCAGAGGTTGATCCACAGCCATCTGAACAAAACCTGACATGGAACATGGTGGAATAACATTTGGACCACAGTGGACTGAAGAAACCATGCGCTGCTTAGTAAAAGAACAAATGTGACGTGACGGTGGGCAGTTCTGTGCTGAGAGGAACCCAAGTGGCTGTATGCAGACCTGATATAAAGTTGTGGGTATATCAGTGATATCTTTCAGGTGCCTGTATCCTGGATGTGACAGAGAAATTACCAAGAATATCCAATCCCCTGACATTGTATCCTTTCCTTCTTGATTAATATGGGGATTGATGGCATTGTCAGAAGAGACCTTGAAAATTTTTTCAGAGATTACGAGACCTTGGTTATGAAAATGAAGTAACTGAGAGCATAGTGTTTTATCAGTGCTTCCAATTGAAGGTCATGGTGGAAAACAGACAGGATTCCAGAAATTAGCAATTGGCTCTGTAGATGGTATTGCTGAGAAGGATTTAGATTCTATGACAATGGACTATGCTACCTTCATGAAGGACTTCTGGAAAGAGATGGGCTATATCTTATGAAGACTGGGAAGGAAGTGTTTGGCAGGTACCTTGCCAGTCTCATCAGGAGACCATTAAACTACAATAAAAGAAGGATGGTGGCAAAAACCCAGAACCAAATATGAAGCCAAGGACTGGGGTCAAGAAAGCAGAGCACAAAGGAAGAAGCAGGAGACCAGGATAGGGACTCTGAGTTTTGTGGAGTCCTTGGGGTTCTCTGAGCTTGGTTGTTTTCTTGCAAATGTTTCATTACCTGGTTAGGTAAGATCTTCAGTGTTACGTTGTTGGAAGATGTTACCTAGCCAGGTAACAAAACATTTGCAAGAAAACAACCAAGCTCAGAGAACTCCAAGGACTCCACAGTTCAACCCTTGGCTACCCATATTCTCTTCTATTGGCAGTCTGAGTTTTGGAAGAAACTATAACAGACAGGCCAGTAGATGATGCCACTCAATACTTCAGATGTTTCTATACCAGTACACAGAATATGAGAAATAAACAGAGAAAACTAGTGATCCTAACTCAGGAAGACAAATATGAGTTCATCAACATCACTGGATTTGGGGGGATGATACTCTAGATCAGAGGGATCTAATCACTGTTACTCATGCCCTGGTCACCTCCCGTTTGGATTTCTGTAATGCGCTCTACATGGGGCTACCCTTGAAGAGTATCCAGAAGCTTCAACTGGTGCAAAGTGCAGCAGCACGGGCAGTTATGTGTGCCCCTAGGGTGGTAACATTACACCTCTGTTTTGCAAGCTGCACTGGCTGCCAGTTTGCTTCCAGGTCCAATTGAAGGTGCTGGTTTTGACCTTTAAAGCCCTTCATGGCATGGGGCTGGGTTACCTGAAGGACCACCTCTCCCTGATTACATCTTCCTGTCCCATCAGATCTGGCAGAGAAGGCATGCTGCGGATCCCATCTGCTAGAGAATTACATCTGGCGGGTCCCAGGAGGCGAGCCTTCTCTACTGTGGTGCCTGTCTTGTGGAATCTCCTCCCCCTGGAAGTGAGGTTAGCTCCATCCCTCTTAACATTCTGTAAGTCCCTCAAGACCTGGCTATGTGATCAGGCCTGGG